AATCACACATACAGAGACTTCCCTTCTTTCTCCCATGGAGGAGTTGGTGGATTTGAACTACCAGATGGGACCTTTGTGTAACCAGAATTCCCTCTGGAGAAATGGTTGTTGTTGTTGTTGTTAGGTGCTGCTGAGTCAAGCACAACTCATAACAACCCTACGAACAAAAGATCTGAACCCTGTTCTATCTGTGTCATCCTCATACTTTCTGACACACAAGAGCCCACTGCAGCAGTAACCATGTGAGTCCACCTGGTTGAGGGTCTTCCTCTCCTTTGCCAACCCTCTACCCTTCCCAACATCACACCCCTCTCCAAGGAATAGCCCCTCCTAGCAACATCCCCAAAATACGGAGAAATGGTAGTGCCACACTCTACCCTGTGAATTTTCACTCAGAGCACAATAAAAAAATTGAGGGAAACTCTCAGGGTAGCACTAGATAAACATCGGCTTTAGAGAAGGAAAGCCTTGGGTTCAGGGTCCAGCAGCACCACTGTATCCCTTTGTGAACATGGGCAGCCACTCTGATTCTCCCTCACAGGTGAGAATCAGGTATCCACTTCTCCTGCCTAAATCGTCTGTATTTTAAACATGGAAAACCGCTACAGGAATTCTTGGTTTTAGAGACCACTGCTTACAGTCCAACATGAATGTTTCCTGTACAGTAATCTTCCAAAAATTTCTTTTCATTATAACACATTTTTATCCGTATCCATGGTAGTTTCCCTTTAACAGCAGTAAAAAGTCCAAAAACCTGTATCATGCACATCGTGGATTCAACCAACACTATAACCTTGTCTCTCGTTGTATTTACTAGAGAAAACAGTTGCCATCAAGTCAGTGCCAACTCACGATGACTTCACATATGTCACAGTAGAACAACACTCCACAGGATTTTCAATGGTTAATCTCTTCCCCCTCCCATGGCAAACTGTGTGTGTGGGGGAGTGGGTAGGTGCTTTTAGGGGTTGTGCCTTAGGTGGTCTCCTATGTAAACAGCTTCCTTGACAGCCCAAGAAAAGGTGGTTCAAATCTACCAGCTGTACTCTTTGGATGAAAGATGGGCAATTTCTCCCGTGTGATTTACTACCTCTCAAGATCGGCTGGAGGGAGAGTTATGAGTTGGTTCTGACTAGATGCCAAATTGGTTTTTGAAAGTGGGTTCCCAGCCATTTCTTTCATTGTGCCTCTGGGTGGACTTGAATCTTAAAACTTTATATGGTGGCTGAATGCTTAGCAGTTTTCACTCTCCACAGAGACCTAAGAATGAATGCCTCTCAACTGTATTGGCAAAGGATATTGAATGTTAGGTTATCAATTTTTTTCTTTCTGGAGGCCCTGTAGGATTTCTGTAAACTTTAATTAGGAGACTCTTGTCTGAGATGGTACTGCCAAATGTTTTTCCCAGTTGGTAGGTTTTCTTTACACACTATTGGAAAAAGTTTTTGATGCACAAAGTGATTTAATCTTTAGAAGGTCTCATTCAACAATTTTATCCTCGCTAGAT